GCCTTGAACTCACAGCGATCCTCCTGCCTCAGCCTCCTGAGTGCTGGGATTACACCAGCACTACAAGGAATGCACCACCATGCTTGGCACATTCTTGTAGTTGATAAGGACCATAGTGTACAGGTGGAATCACAGTGTGCTTGGCAGCCTCTTTTTTTCTTTTTTTTATTTTTTTGGTGTATACCAGGAATCGAACTCAGGACCTTGTGCTTTCCAGGCAGGCACTTATGCCACTGCATTATATCCATGGCTATCTTCTCCTTTTGCACAGTATTCAGTTGTACATGTTTTCTCTTGCTTTTAAAAGCCCTCATGAGCATCCTAGCATTTGTATAACAGTGCACCTTGTGAAACACTCCCCATATGTCCAACATTATGAAGATATCTTTGTGCATACATGTTTTGACATTTTTCTTATTTTTTCTTTCTTTCTTTTCTTTCTTTTTTTTTTTTTATCAGTACCAGGGATCGAACTCATAACCGCCTACTTGCAAGGCAGGAGCTTATGCCATTGAGCTAAATCCCCAGCCCCCTTATTTTTTCTTTCTAATGATCTGTAAGAACTACAGTTCTTGGATGAAAAGTTATAAAGATTCTGGGATTTTACTATGTCGTGTTCCAGAGAAATTGTTTCAGGAACCACCAACTGTGTTTTTTGCTTTTTGTTGTACTTTCTAGTATTACAAATCAAAAACACTTTCTTCTTTAATAAGCAAAGATAGGATTTTTTAAAATGGACTTGGGGCGGGGATGTATGTAGCTCAGTGAAAAAGCACGTAATTAATGTGCACAAGACATTGCGTTTAATGCTCAGTACTACGAGAAATTTTAAAAATTAACTAAACTAAAATAAGTACACATCAGAAATAGATTTTATGTGTTTTGAGCAGTTTTAAATTCACAGCAAAGTGGAGCCGGAGATAGGCAGAGCTCTCACACAGCCCTGGGAGCTGGCTCCAGCCTCCTCTCCCGCCAGAGCGAGCCAGAGCGAGACGTGGGCAACTTTCTTGCCTCAGCCTCCTGAGGGTGGGAGGTCAGGCAGGCACCACCACTCCCAGCCTCACATGGGTCTCTTTTAAAGTACCATTCTACATACATCCCCGCCCCAAGAGCAAACACGTCTCTGGTGCTTTCCCTGCTAGGACCTACAGAAGGCACAGGACAGGAAGCTCACCCCTTGCCCAGTGGGCCCAGAGGCTGGGAGAGAAGAAAGGCGGCAGCCCAGGAAGCTGAGCAGCAGGGGCCCTGTAAACAGACAGGTCCACACTTTTGGGAGGTTCTGCGCCACCGCAATGCCTTCCTGGAATTGGTTTTGAGAAACCAGTAGGTGAATCCTATCAGTTCAATGCCCTCTAGACAATGCAGACCCCCCCCCCCCCAGGCCATGGGCAGCAGGGGAGGAATGGAAGCCCCTCCAGGGCGAGGTGGGACCCTCGGGCTTGGGCAAGACTTATGGGGAGGAAAGAAAGAGGGAGAAGATGGATTGGAAAGCCTCGCAACCAGGCGCAGTCTGACAAAACCCCTGAATTCTGACATTGAAGAAAACATTCTTCACAGCTGCTAAGCACCGACAGCCGAGGTCATAGAGGAAGAGCCGAGCTGCCGAGCTTCCCGACTGCCCGGAAGGTCAGGGGGAGGAAAGGCCTGGGGCCAAGCGCTGGGCTTCTGGTCTGCACATCCCTTGCCCTGGCGGGAGAGGAAGTCTTCCCTTGGGGCCTTGTTGGACCACTCAGCTGGGAAGAGGACTCTGACCAAAATGCTAGACAGAGACAAATGAGAGGGAAACATTCCAGGGAGTTAATGAATGGTACTTTAAAAGAGACCCATGTGAGGCTGGGTGTGGTGGTGGCTGCCTGACCTCCCAGCCTCAGGAGGCTGAGGCAAGAAAGTTGCCCATAAATTCAAGACCAGCCTGGGATACATAAACAAGTTCTAGGCCAGCCTGAACTACTCAGCGCAACCCTGGCTCAAAAAGACAAAAAGCAAAACAAAACATTACAAAAAACCCTATGTGATTTTGTGCAAATAGCTATTGTAAATACCCAGACCAAAAGAACCAAAAATCACTGAAACATAACATTCTGTAGACAGAGTTCTTTTTTTAAAATTTAATTTTTTTTTAATTTTAAAGAGAATAACAGAACAAAGCTAATCAGCATAAAACAATGCCATCAGCACGGGATTTCAAAACAATGCAGACAGAGTTCTAATTCTAGCCCAGCTATCACTGCTAGGATTATTTCCAAAAGATGAAAAATATTTCCAAAAGATGAGAAGTATAAAATAAAAAGCGGCCTTTATTCTGAGAACATGGAGAGAGATGACTGGCTCCCCCACCGCTGGCTTCTGGCGATCTCTCCCCGGACACATGGGGTAGGGGCATGTAAATAGCCTCTGTTTGGGGTGGAACCTAAGGCTTAGGGATGCACAGGTAGCCCATTGGTCCTAGGTTTGGCGCCATATGTAAATTTCCAGGGGCGGGGAAGATGACGTCACAGGTAACTTCCTAGGGGCAGGGGAGATAGGGGCTTCCTGCTTCCGGTTGACGCTTTCCTGGCTACAGTGTCCTGTCTGGGCCAAAACCCTTTCAATCACCCATAACTTTTTTTTTTTTTTTTAATCAGTACTAGGGATCGAACTCATGACCACGCGCTATGCCGCTGAGCTAAATCCCCAGCCCAGCCCCACTATCAAAGCCTAGGTCCTGGGGGCAGAGAGCAAAGCAGGTCCCCTCCCCGCAGGCTTCAAGGATTGAATGGTGGAGGGGGTGCCCCCTCCTGTTTGGCAGCAGATAGGAGGCTGAGGCAGGCAAGTTTGAGGGTAGCCTAAACAATTTAGTGACTTAAAGAGACCCTGTCTCAAATAAAACTAAGGGATAGGGGTGTAGCTCGATGTGGAGGCCTTGGGTTCAGGAACCATGAAGGTGCTCCTGGGGGTGGGGCTGCACAAGGACGGAGCCTGGGTGGCCGCTCAGGGGACAGCAGAGGTGGCCAGGCCTCCTCAGGCAGCAGGGGAGACGGCGTCCCTCACGCCAGGCTCAGCAAGGCCGAGAGGGTGGGAACAGCAGTGAAGCAACCCCCATTGAGGACACAAAGTGAGACCCAGGACTCTTGCAGGCACAGAGTAGCACAGGGTCTCAGTGGAGAGCGTCTCCTGCAGGGCCGGGTGCCAAGGGTTCGAATCCCAGCTCTGCCGCCTAATAACCACGCAGCTGGTCGCAAGATTGAGAGAGTTAATACTTACAGCGCACTGACCCTGCCTAGCGTGTGGTCACCCAAGTGGTGACCACAAAGCGGGCTTTGCCTCATTATTTCTAAACTGCAGCAGCGATGTTAACATCAGGGAAGCACTAGGTAGGGCAAAGAAGGCTACAGCAGGACGGTAAGAGACTTCACCGTGACTCTGTTCCTACCAAAGGAAATGGCAGCTCTGGGGACTTGATACAAATGTTGGTGGGGGGATTCACTGTTCCTCTTCCACAGCTGCAGGGATATAGTGGATAACATAAATAAGATCTGCTGGCTATAGTGCCGTAGCCTAGAATCCCAGCTCTAGGAATGAGAGGCTGAGGCAGGAGGATTCCAAGTTCTCGATCAGCCTGGGTAGCATATCTGGTGAGACCCTGACACAAAATTAAAAATAAAAAAATAAGAAAAGACTGGAGTGTAGCTCAGTGGTAGAGCGTTGCCTCATTGTGGACAAGGCCCTGGGTTCAATCTTAGGTGCTAGAAAAATAAATGTGGCTAGAGAAAAATGAACCAATGTCTCAGCAAATTCATTGTAATAGACAACATTAGACCCTTCATATCTCAAAGAGAAAAGGAGTATGTCTTAGTTACTTTATGCTCGTCGCCGAGACAAAATACCTGATGCCCAAGTTGGGAAAGGAAAGGTTTATTTCTTAGTTTTTAGAGATTTCAGTCCACGCTCTGTGGGCTCTCCCAGGCAGGCGGGCATGGCTGGGCTGCCTTTCCTGGCCGCTGCAAACAGCAAACTCAAACCAGCAAAGAGAAAGACACACCTTCTTCCTGCCATTACATCACACCCTGGCTCCACCCCTATGTGGGTGGAGCACTGACACCATCAATCCAAGCACTATACAATGAACCATCACAAATGAACAATGCAAACTCATGAGGCCTGGGGGACATAGATACAAACCATGACATTGAGTATTTTTATTCAGGTACAGTGACACACACCTGTGTTCCCAGGCTGAGGCAGGAGAATCACACATTCCAAGCTCAGTCTGGGCAGTTTAGCAAGACCCTGTCTCAAAATAAAAACTTAGAAATGGCTGGAGAATGTAGCTCAGTACAAAGGCCTTGGTTTCAATCCCTGCCACCATCAGGAAAAAAATCAATCACGCACTACAAAGCATGCTTGAACGTATTCAAAACATGAAATGTTAACAGACCACGTTTATCATTAAGCCCGTGTGGTGAGAATCACACAAATAACCACAAAAAAGTAACTGCTTGAAAACGGAGACACCCAGTTCTAAATAGTGCTAAGGAATCTGTAGATGCCTAGATAGCTTTAGATCAAGGAGGGATTCAAAACTAAAATTAAGACAGTAAGAAAGAAAACATCAAAACACATGCAGAAAAGAAAAAGAGACCCACCTCGTACTCCACCGATGGGCTCAGCAATACCAGACATAAAATCCAGTGCCTCGTGACTAAGGAAAAACATTAACAGTAAAGCGCTTAGTTTGCATTTGAAAATTCACAGACTTAGTCTGGAGTGGTCTCTAAAATCAGTCCCTTCTCCTCTTTGTCTCTGTCTCTGTCTCTCTCCGCTGTGTCACCCCCTGCCCCGTTTCTCCCTCCCTGTTCTCTGCACACATGTTTATCAGGTGGCTGCTATAAAGGAATCTCTTAGGGAAACGATCTTATTTAGATCCTTTAGATCTTAGCTATCTTATTTCCCCAGGGTCCGAGTGCTGCAGGTACTGCCTGTTGTATGCTGACCCCTCGCCTCCTTGTGTCTGCCCGCAGGTCCTGCAGGAGCAGATCCGTGCCAGGGACAACATCAGCTATGGGACGAACTCTGCTCTGAAGACCCTGGAGATGCGGCAGCTGTCAGGCCTGGGTGACCTGCGGGGCAGAGTGGCGAGGTGGGTGATGGTGACAGTGATGCCCAGGCCCCTGGCCACTGTCCCGCCTGGTCCTCTGCGCTCCCCTGCACTGGGCTGCATGCACGGGGACTTCCCTTTGGCGTGCTGGGTTCTTTTTTTTTTTTTTTTTTTTTTTTTTTTTTTGGTACCAGGCATCGAACTCATGACCTCATGCTTACCAGGCAGGTGCTCATGCCACTGAGCTAAATCCCCGGCCCTTGCATGCTGTTCTTCACTTTTCTTATCATTTGTCTTTATTTTCTAAGGTTTTGGTCTTTTGATCAGGTGGAAAAAAGTATTTTGGTACCAGGAATTGAGCCCATGATCTTGTGCTTGTCAGGCAAGTGCTGTGCCACTGAGCTATGTCCCTGGCCCTGAAAACTTTTAAAAGGAGGCCGTTCTCCTCAGAGAGTGTGACAGAGCACTCCTGCCTGCCAAGCCCTCAGGGCCACTAACAGGGCTGGGACCCAGGGTCCAGTTGGGGCCTCCTCTGCCCTCTGCTGCCCCCAAGAGCGAAGCATAGGGTGGGCCCTTGCAGGGACCTGGACACATAGGGGTGACAGGGCGATGGCCTGAGAGAGGCGGGCTGGGAAGAGACAGGGACTTGCTATTGCCTCTTGGAGCAGTAGCTTTGGGGTGTATTTGGGTGGACCCCATGCTGTTTGATCGGTCCCTTCTGCTGCTGCTGTACCTTTGCACAGGCTGTTCCTGTGTTCTGAGCCTTCCTTCCTCCCTTGTGAGCTTCTTGTCCAATGGTGAGGTTCAGCTTGGATGTCCCCTCGGGGTGTCTGTCCTGATGCCCCGCTCTCCCAGCTCCCCTTGCTCCTGGGAGAAGGGCCTCAATGTCTGGACTGGGGCTCCGTATTGTTCCCCGTGTGCTGAGGGTCTGGAGCGGTCTCCGGAGAACATTCTGGAGTGAGTGAGCCCAAAAAAGTCACTATGCATGGCAGAGAGATGATCCTTGTGCTTGGGTTTGGCTTGGAAGAAAGCCCAGCTGGGTGCAAGCTTACAGAACAGAGAGGAGTTGGGAAGACAGAGAGGCACGGGGCACAGGGGACTTGGGGCAGACTCGGAGGATCCTCAGGGCCACCTGGACAGCAGGAGAAGATGAAGCAAGGTGAAATTCGTAACCGTGTCCACCTGGGGTGAGCACGTGGTAAACGGTGGCTGTGGGCCTCGCAGGGGCTGGAATCATCCTTGTGATGCTGCCGCTCCTGGTGCGGAACCCCTTGGAGGGATCTCACCGTGCTCTTCGCCTTCTCATGGAGTTGCGGACCCAACTCGATTCTTCCCCGCAGTACTTTCATTCTGGCACCTTCGGAGACGTTTGTTGTGAGCGCCAGGCAGTTTTGCCTTGTCTGATGCCTAGATTTGTCTTCCCCTTGGAAAGCTAAGGAGACTTTGTTGAAACAAACTCACGTGCAATGAAAACTCTTTGGCAAAGTTCTGACTTTTTTCCATTCTGTAGTTGTGTGGAAGGGGTCCGAGGTCTTCGGGGATACTGGGAGATTCATATGCCACTACATTGTTGCACGTTTCGTGTCATAGTTTCTGTGCACCCATTGGTGACATTGAATAGCAAACAGGCCTTGATTTTCCCCTCTGTAAAGCCAGCTCAAAGGGGTCTCTCCGGTGGTGCTGCCCACCCTGCATAATATACCCCAAAAAGCACTGACCTGAGGCTGCTGGTTTCTCCCCGAAGCAGAGCTTGAGAAGCTCAGTTTTCCAGTTAGGACCAGAGTTTGTGGCCCGCTATGTGGCATATTGTCTCCGTCTGTCCCAGCGTCAGGGGCTGTTTCTGCCTTCCTCTGTGAGGCTGGATTGCACGGTGACAGCTTTGGAGAAAACATACCTGCATGCTGAGGAGTAGCTAAGTTCCTTCCTAGGTGCTTCCTGGGAATTGGAGTGGAATATTATTGGGGGCCCAGAGACCCATCGGGGTGCTTCCTGGAGATCTCTCTGGGTCTCTCTGTCTCTGTATCCCTCTGTCTCTTAATGAAGAGCTCTAGTGAGAGAATTCACACCGATGAGTCACCTAGTTAAAGCCTGTGTGTCCAGTGGCTCTCCGCGTATGCAGAGTGATGTAACTCTCTTAATTCCTTTTGAAACATTTCTCCCATTCAAAAACAAACCACGCAGTCATTAGCCAGAGCTCCCCATCTCCATCCCCCGCAGCCCTTCTCCCGGTCCACGGCAGCCACCAAGTACCTCCTGTCTCTTGTGGATATGCCTCTCTGGGAATGTGAGTGAATGACATCATAGTGCATGCGCACTTTTGAGCCCGGCTCCCACACTTAGTGTAGTGTTCTCAGGGTTTATCTGTGCACTGATGTGTATCAGTTCTTCACTCCTATTTATGGCTGAGTAATAGCCTATTGTGTGCCACTCTTTATTCATACATCAGTTGAGTGTTTGGGTTCTATTTACCTTTTGGTTCTTACCAGTAATGCTGCTATGGGGACCAAGTGTGGTGGCCCGTGCCTGTGATCCCAGCACCCAGGAGGCTGAGGCAGGAGGATCTCTGTGAGTTTGAGGCCAGCCTGGGCTACGAAGTGAGTTTAAGGCCAGCCTGAACTCATAACGAGATCCTGTCTCAAAAAGACACACAGATACACACACATTAATACTGCCTCTGTGAACTGGTTTTTATGTGGTCAATTCTAGAGTGGAAATGCTGGGTGACAGAGTGGCTTTGTATTTAATCTTTGAGAGACAGAGCAGTGAGACTAGTCTCCAAAGTGACTGTACTGCTTTACCCTGGCGCCAGCACGGTATCGTGCTTCAGGTTTCCCCGCAGCTTCACCCGCTCTTCCCGTCCATCTTTCTCAGGGCAGCTGCCCTTCCCAGTAGGTCTGAAGAGCTGTGTCTTTGTGGTTGTGGTCTATATTCCTCTAGTTCCCCATTTCCCTGAAAATAAGACCTAGCTAGACAATAACGAACCTTGAAAACTAGAAATCAAAAGTGCCAGCTCCAAGCAGCCTGTCCTGCTGGTTTTGTCCCTTTTTGGCCTTTTATTTTGCAGTCTTACTAAGCCAGTGCAGGACTTGCAGTAATTTTTGGTGAATCTCCTAGTTTTCTCTATACAAGGTCATGACATCCGTGTATAGAGATTGGTTTACTGCTTCCTTTCCTGCTTGGATGACTTTGGGTTTTTTTTTTAAAGTTAATAAAACCAACACAACAAAACAGAATAAAGTCAGTCAATGCAAAGCAGTGAAATTGGTACAGAATTTAGGACAACAGGAAACCATCAATGGCTTCCATAGTCTGTCTCAGTATCTTCACGGTGGTTGTCCATTCTGACGAGCACCACAAAATCAAACCAAGCAAAATGGAGCATTGAATAAAGCAAAACAATACATCGGAACAAAACAAAACAGTGAGAACAAGATTAAACTTCAAAAACGTGGGGAATCCCCCATATTCGCCATATTGCATACTGTCATCCTCCCAATAGATGCTCGGACCACTGGCCCTGGGCCACAGAGTCAGCCAGACAATATGAGAACTCAGTTGCTAGCGATTCAGCCTGCCCTCCGAACCTCTGGTTGCTTACAGGGGGTAGTAGAGGGGTGTCCTTTTTTCTCAGCCCTCCTGGCAGCTCCTATGCATCGTCTTGTTTCTTGCTTCCTGAACCCCGCTTGCTTACAGGAAGGGCTCATTGACTGCTTCCTGATGGACTCTTCCAGACCCAGCATGGCTTCTGCCGATTCACAGGGGGCGCTTTCTCCTGGTCTGGATGACTTTGATTTCTTTGCTGAGTAGATGTGGTGAGGTGAACGTCCTCGTCTTGCTCCTGAGCATAGGGGATCGCACACCATGAAGTCTGAGTTCAGCCCTGGTGTTTTCGTGTTTGTTACCAGGTTGAAAAAGTTCCTTTCTAGGTTGCTGACTCGTTTTTTAAAACCATGAAGAATGTTGGATTGTATTCCATGCAGTTTCTCTTCATCCACCGAGACGATTGTGTGGTTTTTATCTGTTTTTCTGCCTATGCACTGCGTTAAATTAGCTGCTTTTCGGGTTTAAACCCGACTTGCATTCCTGGAGTAATTCTCCCTTGGCGCTGGTGTTGCCAGCTCTCCCGAATCCACTCAAACTTTCCTCAAAGATCCAACTGGGGTGCAGTCTCTTTGAGCTGGGCCTCGGATTTCATAGTACATGAGGAGGCTTTTGCATGGGTTCTAACACTTTTATAAGGAGGAGCTTTGTCGTTGGCTTTGACAGATGTGATGCCAGCATAGCCAGACTGTCTGCAGAGCACAAGTCGACCTACGAGGGGCTGCAGCACTTGAACAAAGAACAGCAGGCTGCCAAGCTGGTCCTGGAAACGAAAATCAAAGACGCAGAAGGCCAGGTAGGACCTGTGTGAGGAAGCTTTGAAGAGCTGGTAATTTCTTCATAGCTGGGTATCACTTCTTGTGGGAGAAATTAGCTGAGGCCCCAGCACAGGTTTATGCAAATCACGAGCATCTCTTGTTTCTTCTTTCTCCGGTTCACTGAAGTGACCCTCATGAGTCTGACAACCAAAGCCCAGTGATATTTTGGTACAGTCCTAATTGAAGATTTTTCCTACTTATTCTAAAAATGATTAATATGTTACAGAGAGTCTAAACTGCTGGTCATGGTGGCACATGCCTGGAATCCCAGCACTCTGGGAGGCTGAAGCAGGAAGATTGCAAGTTCCAGTCCAGCCCAGGCAACTTAGCAATTTAGCAAGACACTGTCTTAAAATAAAAAATAAAAGGGCTGGGAATATAGCTCAGTGGTGCAGCTCCTACCTGACAACGTAAGGTCCTGAGTTCAATTCCTGGTACTGGGGGTAAAAATGAAAAAATAAAAAAGGATTCAGAGCAAAGGCTCTCGTTTAATCCCTAAAAGCAAAACAGAATAACACCTCCCTCTCCTACGGGTAAGCCACGCTGTGCTCTGCGCCTTCCGCTCCCCCAGTTTTGATTCAGGGCACATGCAGGGGCTTTCTTGTCACGTGGTCTCCGTGTGTGCAAAGCCAGGACAGTGTGAAGTAGAGGCTGCCCAGTGAAAGGCGGGGTTTCCCACCTTGAAATTCACAGGCCGATTTTATTTCACAGAGTGGAATTTGGTGTTTTCGTTTGATTTTTGGCCTTTTACAAATTTCCCTTCATTCCAACAGGGTGGGTCTTCTTCCCGGGCTTTTCCCACCTCACCTGCCTTGTTTACCATTCTGTACTCATGGAAAGAATGTTCTAAAAAAATCATGGCATCCATAGAGCATTCATCAGGTTAAAAGTGCTCATCTCCTGTGTCCAGTAAGGATCGGGAGTTGCTTCTGTGAAACACAGATGTCATTACAACTATGGAAAAAAGAATGAAGAGACAAAGCCACTGGTTTTTAAAAATAATTTTGAAGAGTGAGCAAGGATGACATTATTACACCAGAAAATAGATGTAAAAAGTATCTTAAGCGTCCTGGTGTCCACGCCAAATAAAACACAGACATCCATCCAAAGGGACATACTTGGTTGTTCTTCTGGAAAAGAATGATGAATTTCCAATAAAAAATGTTGTACATCATAATTTTTGATGGAAATAGCAATATTTCAGAGGACTGGTTTTGTGTTAAATTTTAGTGAAAAGCCAAGGAGAAACAGGCAGGAAATGGTCATAGCAGAATGCAGGGTCCTATCGCAGGGTGACAAGGAATGAAACCCTGGGCAGAGGACGTGGGTGCAGACAAAGGTACTTAAAAGATGGAGAGGAAAGAAAGCAGAAAATGTAAAGGCAGGGTAGTAACGCCCCCGTCAGCCAGGAGGGGTTCTGAGCCCCAAGAGGGCTCTGTGTCCAGGAGTTTCTGCGGGGCTTGGAAGGCAGCTCAGGCCCCGTGTCAGTAGTATAATCTCTTCCCTGTAGGACACTCCTTGTTTCTTAGGGTGGAATGTTCGAGGTTTTCACCCAGTGCCCACGCAGCCCCCAGGCACCCTTGAGCCAGCGGCCCAGAGCACGCAAGCACACCTTTTTGCAGTCACTGTTGGGTTTGCTCAGTACAGGATGGAACGGTTCAGTGCCTGGGGTGTGATCAATATTTTGATTTTCAGTGGGTGTGTAAGAAAAAAACCCCACAGAGGTGGAAAGACAGGCGAACTCCTAAACGATCGAGTCCTAACACCATTGACAGGATTAGAGTGCGGGAAACAAGGATCAACCTTCTTTTCCAGATTTCCCAGCTGCTGAGCAGAGTGGATTTGTCCATCTCGGAGCAGAGCACCAAGCTGAAGATGTCCCACAGGGACAGCAACCACCAGCTGCAGCTCCTAGACACTAAGTGAGTCCTGAGCTTCTCAAAACAGCTTCCAGGTCAAGCTCTTTCTGAGTTTCTGCAGTCCTGCCCTTCTTTTATTTATTGTGCACCACGACAACCAGCACTGAACTGAAAAGGAAAAGTTTCCCTGCGATCTGTTGTCGCTCTTATTATTTTTAGTGACTGGGTTATTATCTATTTTGTATGTACATTTTGATAAAAAGATGACTATTTCAATTTTTAAAATTTGTTCCAGTAAAAGACATGTTACTATTTTTTAATGATTTTTTTTTGTCTTTTTCTTTTTTATTGGTACAGGGATTGAACTCAAGACTGCCTGGTTGAAAGGCAGGTGCTTATGCCGCTGAGCTAAATCCCCAGCCCCCGACATGTTACTATTAATCCCTCTCAAAATATTCCCATTTGCTTCAAATTCCCCCACCCTATCATTCTTTCCATTTTTTTGAAGCTTTTTTTTTTTTTTCTTTTTGAGACAGGGTGGTCTTGAGCTCACTTGGTAGCCCAGGCTGGTCTTGACCTTGCAACGATCCTCCTGCCTCAGCCTCCATCCTCCTGCCTCAGCCTCCTGAGTGCTGGGATTACCACCACACCCAGCTTTTGAATTTGAACGTTTAAATATTTAGCCTACTTGTGGATCACCCTTCCTATTTACTGATCACTGCTGGTTGGCGGGAGTCTCCTCAGTGTTCTGAGCATTCAGCGCTCTGAGTCCTGTGCCATACTGAGCAGAAAATCAGACCATTGTGATTCTCAGGGCATTTACAGTGGGAGGAGCTAGCGCCATAAACAGACAAATAAGGACGTGGATAGACACGAGGTGTGCTACTATTGACAGCGATAGAGCTTTTAAAGGACAGGTGCGTGGTTGTGGTAGAGTGAATGATGACCCGCTCAACTATCTCTACCTCCCAATTACTGGAGCTCATGCACAGTTGGTGATAGAACTGTGGGGGACCGGCGGCAGCTGAAAAGATAAGAAGTATGAAATATAAATGACCTTTAAGAATGCGGGCAGAGACACCCCCATCCCCTGGGGCACAGCATATTCCGCCCCCCCCTCAGCGATCTTTCCGTGGAACACGTGGAGTGGAGGCATATATGTAGCTTAGGTTTGGGGTGGAGCCTGAGGGGGCATTAGGGATGCACAGGTAGCCCATTGGTCTTTGTTTGGCGCCAGAGGTAGATTCCTAGGGGTGAGATGGAGCTCCTTGGTTGTGCTACAGTGTCCTGTCTGGGCCAAAACTCTTTCAGTCGGTCACCTGGTACAGTAGAAGTGGGCTTTGCAGGTGTGGCTGAGCAATGGTAGGTTACCCTGTGTTACCCGTGTAAGCCTGATGTGATCACTAGAACCCTAACAGGGAATTCTGGGTGGTGCTTACGTCCTGGGGACTGGGGTCCCCGGGAAGTACCTTGCGACTGCTAAGCCCGGCAGAAGTCTTGTGTCAGGCTGGTGCGAGGACTTAGCTCCCGTGGCGGTTTGGGTAGAGCCCGGCCTCAGTGTCATCATGCCACACAACAGTGGCGAGATCACATTCCCAGGCTGCAGGGTGGCACCAGCACCCTTGGGGAGCGATCTCTGCTGCCCCAGCCCTTGCCCTCCTCCACAGGGCCAGGACAGGGAGAGGGTCCAGGGCGAAGCTTCGGTTTGAAGGCTGTGACCAGCACTGTGCACCGTCACTTCCACACGTGTCCCCTCAGCTGACTTGTTCCTGTGCCTGCACCTAGCTGCAAGGGAGGCTGGGAACAAGGTCTCCAGCTCTTGATCCTCGAGGGCTTTTTTGGGGGCTAAGAGAGCGGCTGTCCAGAATGGCTGGGGACTTTCCCCAGTGGATGCTCGTGTTAGTGTTCTTTAAATCATACATCTATATCACATATATTTCTATAATTCCATTACACAGAATAAAAATGAGAAGCAGCGATGAGGAGAAGGAGCACGTGCAGATAACTCCGTAAGGGATGTGAGAAGAGAGAGGACGAGAGGAGGGGAAGTTTGGGAGGGTTTTTACAAATAAAAAACATTTCTTCTGAATAAAATTGGGGTGCGTCCTGTGGGGTGAGAGGAGTTTGGGGAACAGGAGAGAACCCAGGACCCAGGATCCGGTCTGGAGATAAAGGGACAGGAACCAGGGGCATGGAGTCCCTGAGCCGGGGGCAGCGCGGTCCTCAGGACCACGCAGGTCCGCTCCGTATCGTGGTCACCTCCATGTCCACACCGCTGTTCTGCAGGCTACAGCGTCATCAGCTGCTTTCGTGCAGCTACCCCACCGGGAAGGTGCCGAGCCTGAGGCCAGGAGAAAGCACTCGGGGTGCTCCTGTGGTGCCGGGTGTGGTGCTGCCTCTCCACCCGAGATCCGAGGTTGCCTCCTGTCCCCTGCAAACTGCCCTGCACCTCACGGGTTCCCTCACTGTCTTTTAGATTTAAAGGTACTGTCGAGGAGCTCAGCAACCAGATTCTTTCTGCCCGGAGCTGGCTGCAGCAGGAACAGGAGCGGATAGAAAAAGAACTTTTGCAGAGGATTGACCAGCTCTCCGTGGCGCTCAAGGCAAACAGTGTAGGCATTGAGGGTTAGCGATCCTTTCGTGTGATTGTTTGGTGAGGGGTCTGCGGTGTCTGACTGAGGTATTTGTTATCACACAGAGCTGCTGCATTGTTTCTTGCCTTGGAGTCCATTTCTGTTTTGCTTTGAGAATCAAATCCAGTGTCTCACATGCATTAAGCTTGTGTTCTACCACTGCATACATCTCTAGCCTCTATTCTTTGTATTTTTACTTCGTTTTGAGAGAGAAGCTCACCATGTAGCCCAGGGTCTACTTGAACTAGCTGCGATCCTCCTGCCTCGGCCTCTCGAGCGTTGAGATTACAGGCATGCACCACCCTGTCTATTCTTTATAAAGACACGGAACACTTTGATTCCTTTTGGTTCAAAAGGCTAAATAGAATTTTTCACTGCTTTCAGTTGAGATGAGTTTAAATCATGATCTTAAAGATGCAAATTGTCCCCTTGCATTTCCACATGAAATGAACAGTCATCTGGTAGACCCGGGGTTGTTTGAACTTCGTGATCAGAGCTGAGTAGCTCCCTCCCTGCAGGTCCCCTCCAGCCCCCCAGAACACACTGCAGCAGCCCAGAGCCGCGGGTCTCCGCCCTCTCAGCCACTTTTCGTTCTTCCTGTCCCGGCCTCTCACAGAGCAAAGGTTTGCAAACTGCTCTGAACCTCACCCCATGTCCTGCAAACCTTGCATGCCTCACATCCATGACCAGCAGGCTCCAAAGCCAATTTGGCTGAATTCTAGAAACAGAGGAAAAAGAAAGAAATGAAGGTAGATATCCGCTGTCTTTTACCTTCTCCGGGAAGCTGTCACGTACACTAACATCTCATTGGCCAGAATTAATCCTGTAACGGCCACACAGGTGCTAAGCCAAGGGTCTGCTAGGCTGAGGGCACGTGGAAAATGTGATTTGTATCTGGGCGCCCTTTTCCTGAACTGGAAATTGGGAATCTGGTGGGGCAGAAGCAGCGGAGGAAGATCTTGAGCTGGGTACCAAGCAGCCACCGTGATTCTGCCCCCAAGCACGGCAGTGAAGCAAGAAGACAGGAGTGTAAGTGCGGGCAGACTTGGTCTGTAGAGTCCTCAGGCCTTTCTTCTCCTGGATCTCAGGCAGCCAGTGAGAGGGACGCGGAGATGCTCGGCCAGTTGTCAGCCCGACTGGACAAGCTAGAGGACACCCAGAGGAGGAGCCCAGAAGGTGCCAGGACCAAGCAGGAGGAGGACAGGGTGCACGGGCGGATCACCAAGCTGGAGCTCCAGATGCAGGAAGGCTTGCAGGAAATGAAAGCGGAAGTCAACGCCGGTAAGGCAAACCCAGGGGCTCCCCGTGCTGCTTTCTGTTGTTTCTCAAAGTCCATTAGTCAGGAGCCCTAGCAGTCCCACAGGAACCGTGGTCATCCTCACAGTTCAAAGTGGCTGCTGGCGTGCTGGCCATTGACAGGGTTCTGGAAACAGCAGAAACCACTGTCTTTAATGTCTCCAGGAAGCTGTCACGTACACATATCACACTGGCTAGGGCGGATCCTGTGGCCACGCTAGCTGAGGAGGCAGCGGATCAGTGACCACAGTGGAACGGCCTTAGCCTCCCCGCAGCTGTGCTGTTAGAGCGCAATTTGCATTCAGCGTATGTGAGCTTGGCTGGTCCTAATGGGCAGAGGTTTCTCTCCGAGTGCAGTGCTGGTGAGGACAGAGGCCTCTCAGCTGGTCCTGTTGTCACAGGGGCATCCCGAGGCCAACCTGCAGACAGGAGACCCAGGCCGGCCAGGTTCACGCTTTTCTTGGCAGCCCACGCTCATCAGAGGCCCTGGTTCATGCTACCTTTGTGACCTCTTGGCTATTTTTTGTTCTTTTTCCCAGCCCTGGAGGTGGAACCCAGGCCCTTTGCACTGAGCTCCACCCCAGCCCTTTTATTATTTTTGAGACAGCATCTCCCTAAGTCATTAAGTTGCCCAAGCTGGACTCTAACGTGAGATCCTCCTGTCTCAGCCTCCCAGAGTGCTGGCTCATCGCCTCTTAAAGATTCCGCCCTGTTACAGTGGCAGCTAAATTTCAGCCTGAGCTTTAGAGGGCACAGTCAGATCCTAGCAGGGGGCCGAGCACTCTGAATTCAGGATATAGAACTGGGGCCACTAAGTAGAAGAAGTTCCCCAGACAAATTTTTAACTCACACAAAAATAGTTTGCATATAGTCCTAAAGACTCGCTGGTTTTGTGAGATGCAGAGCTCTTTGCTACTGAAAGGATTCTTGGGGCTGTGTGTGGTGGCGCACACCTGTCATCCCAGCACAAGGGAGGCTGAGGCAGGAGAATCACCTTGAGTCCCAGGCCAGCCTCGGCTACATAGTGACACCCTGTCTGAGAAAACAGAAGGATTCTGGGGAGTCTGTTTGACCTGATCATGAAGGAAAAGATATCCTGCTGAAAAACAGGAGTCAGTTGGGTCCAGCTCCTCCAATTTCTTATGCCATGAGTTCCTTATGTCCCCTTGTCCTATTTTAGTTACATAGGAATGAAAGTAGTTATTCCAAGGGTAATCTTATCACCAAAAGTTTCCTCTATGTGGAAGTTACCATTCAACTTTTGGATGGGCGAAGCTGTAAGGATAAAATTGCATTTTCTGTCTTGGCTTTGGGGCTGTTGGAATATTTATCCATGTTCAACGTTGCCTCGTTTTCTGAATGAATTATTGTCCTTTGTTAACTACTGTTGAGGCTGTTAATAGTTAGCACCTAATAAGAAATACATACAAATCTTTGTAGAATTAAAAATACTTTTTATTACAAACATAACACACTTCTTAATGGAAAATCATAAAGCATAGAATAATTTTAAAATATGACTTCTCTGAGGTCATTTTTATATACATTTTCTCTATATTGTATTATACCAGCATAAAAGTTCATACTATACATGTTTGTTTATCTTTCTGCCATGTAGTTCAGACTGGCCTTGAGCTCATTTTGCAGCCTAGGCTGGCCTTGAATTCAAGGCCATCCTCCTGTTTCAGTCTCCAAGTACTGGGGTTAAATACTGGTTTAAACTTCTTATCTTGTTTAGTAATTGTTGTACCTCTCCATGTCAGTAAAAAATATTTTAATGAGTAATTTATACAGTTTTTTTATGAAATGTCACATAAAGAAAATTTTCTGAGAGAAAAATGCAAAAATTTACTAATGAAGACAAGACTTTGAAAAAATTTTGATTAAAAAAAAAGTAAAAATATTTAACTAGAAAACAGGAATATAGAATAATATAAAATACTTTTTTATTAAAGACTTTAAACTTTTTGATTGTTTGCTTTTTTGAGACAGGGTCTTGCTGTATAGTTCAGGCTGGCCTTGAACTCAGGGGATCCTCCTGCCTCAGCCTCCAGAGGGCTGGGATGACAGGTGTGCATCCCCTGTGCCAGCTGATGCTCAGTATTTTCTTAATGGTTGTGACAGGTGACACCTTTTCATGCACCTCCTGGCCATTCAGGTCCTGAGCTGGAACCACACACCAGATCTGTCACCCTGCCCCTTCCTAGGTCTCCTTTGATCTGGGCTGGTCCTCGGCCGTCTTGAAACTTGCAAGCAGCACCGGCCAGGGTTTTGCACACTGTGCCCGTGTTGGCCCTATTTGCCTCCTTGGGCTGAGGTTTGGGGCGGGGGCATCACAGCAGTGAGGTCACCCAGGTCTTGTCCGGATGTGCCACCGGGGTGCCCCTTTCCTCGGGGTTGGGGTGAGCCTGGACTGCTTGCTTCAGGGTGCAGGTGCCCTTCACCCCTTCTTAAAGCGGGTTCGGGGAGGGAGACACCACGCGTCCCCTGGGTGGGCGGACTTGGTCTGTAGACGCTTCACCCGGCTTTCCCGGGGTCTCGGCAGCTGCAGCCCCGGTCAGGGCCACGCTGGCTCCGCTGTCTTTGAGGGTTTTAACCCTGTGACGTTTGCCTCCCCTCCCAGGGTTCACTGCCATCTACGAGAGCATCTCCTCCCTCAGGCAGGTGCTCGAGGCCAAGATGAAGCTGGACAGGGACCAGCTGCAGAAGCAGATCCAGCAGATGCAGAGGCCAGAGGCTCCCCTGTGACCGGGCCGCCACCAGAGGGATGCTCGGAGGTGTCGCCTCGGGCCTGGGCCCCGGCTCCTGAGGCCGGGCCAGCGCTGTGCTGCTTCCTGTGTGTGCAGGAAGCGGTCTCCACGGCCTGGACATTTACCTTCGTGTCCAACACACTCTTTCTGCAGTGTATTCAATCCAGTTTTTATTTCACTGCTCTAAATTCAGTGGACGCCCCACCCCCACCCTGGGAAAGGCTTTGGTCCTCATTTTATGAATGAAAAGACTTAATTTTTTTTCAATGCTTGATGCTCTGACCAAGACTATTTAATATTTTGAAAAATGTCGTGGTGAGTTTTTTAAAAAATTAAGAAAGCAAGCCAGGCGTGGTGGCACACGCCTGTAATCCCTGCACTCGGGAGGCTGAGGCAGGAGGATCCCTGCAAATTCAAGGCCAGTCTGGGCTACAAAGTGAGCTGAACTATATAGGGGAGACCCTGTCTCAGACAAACAAAACAAAAACAAAAAACAAGCAAACAAACAAAAAAAAATGAGTTGTCACAGAAATGTGTCACTGAAATTTCTCAATCAAGACTGTACCGATAAATTGGAATTCAACCTTTGAGTCTACATCCGGGGTTTATTACTGTTCTCCGTGTTTCTTTATATTGCCTGTCTTCCTGTCAATCTTCTGTCTTTTCTAAGGGGGAGAGATTTAACAATAGGGAAAAAAAACCCTGCCATTTCTATAATGAAAATAGATTTACAACTGATAACTGCCATATAGATTGGAAATGAAAATGGAAATTTCAAACATTCTGGGTACTACAAGGCACAATATTTACAGCCACCTAGATGTACCAGGTTTTAATATGTAAAGCTATTTTTTAATTAGCCACAACTTGTATAGTGATAGCCATATATTTACTGATGGAACGGTGGTTAACTGTTTGTTGATGCACAATTAATTACTCATTAATCATGATGGGATGTGAGAATTTTCCAGACTTTATGACCTCTCTAAATGTTTCCAAAATTGGCACCCAGTGCCAGGGTTTATATACATTTATTGTAACTGTATTCTTGTGCCTTGGTCTAATCACATCCGTGCACTGTACCCTATAAAATCTTTGCTGACAAGAGAATAATAATAATTAATAATAACTCAGAATTATGCTGTCAAAATGGGATCCTATGTATTTTTTAAATGTTCTGAAAACTTGACTGCTGTTAAGATATGAATCATTCTGTGTTACTATAATGGAATAGAAATTGATACTTTTGTATGGACAAAGAAACCAATTGCACTTGTAACGCTGTCCTTGCTTTCCTCTCGGGCCACTCTGCGGGGATTTTCAGCCTCCACGATTTTCAGGCACTGTGGTCTCTGGTCACCTGTGCAAACCTAGTGCGACCCAACGCGCGGAGGTGTGAGGGCGCCCGGCAACGGGGACAGGCGTACTTCAAAGGGTTCTGTTTTTTTTCTTAACGCTTTTACTTTTTGTTGTGGTTCCATTTGCCAAGGACTCAGGACAATAAAAGCATTTTCTATTTTTAGTCTAAACCACAAATGAAACATCTGACTGGCTGTTACTGTTTACCGGTATGAATGTGTTGCTGGAGGGTGTCACCTGGTGTCTTCAGTGGCTCAGCAGCAGTTTTTTAAAAGCGATTGGACGTGAGAGGTCACAGGCAGAGTGTGGGTACGCCATGCAGCATGCGCTTCCTGTCTGTCACCTCCGTAAAGGGGTGAAGAGGTTCTTGCTATCTGGCAGTCTGGTGGCTTCTTTCTGTGCATGGGGGCGGGAGGGGGGCAGCAACAGGTTAGGCAGCTCCCACCTGATCCTTCTGCTCTGGGGTCTGGAGGAGGAAGGGTCAGCATCTGACACCTGGGAAGCAGGGGACAGGAGCCCATCTGGGCCCTGACCAAGGGGGTGGCATGAACAGGGGCTGCGGGGCCTCGGGCAGGCGTCTCAGGTGCTCCACTGACACTGCCGTCCTGTGTGACACTTAGCTCTGGCCACATTGCCCTCACCTGGGGAGTGTAAAGAGCCTCCTACCCCGGGCTCACTGCCCCCCAGACCATCACAGGCACCTCGGGGAGATGGCACAGGACACCAGACAGGGTTTCGATGCATATCAGAGGCCCAGGGGCTGTGGGGACTCCCAGGGCCACTGGAGTCCACCCAGTGACATTTATCAATAAAGGGTCACAGAAAGCTTCCCTGTTTTTTCCTTTACCAGAAATTTGCAATAAAAAGAATAAAATGTCAAAATAATTGTGATGTGTGATTTGCAAATTGAAAAGTCTTTTAACTTAATTAGGTGAGTGGCCTCAGGAGAGAAAACTTTGTTTCCTCTGCCATGAAAGTGCTGAAACCTGTGTCCCCGGAAGACTCCTGGGCCTCACCACTTGTGTGCGACTCATTCATCTTTACGCTGAGCTGAATGAAATACCATCCATCTACCCATTTTACAGATGGGAAAACTGAGCTACCAAAAGTGATCCAACTTGCCTCAGTTCTTAATGCTGATTGAGTTTATGTAAAGCCATGTAGCTGTACTTTAAACGGTTAAGGTAGTATATTTTATGTGCATCTTACCACAGTGTTTTTAAAAAGAAGGAAGAACAGTGCTCCACCCCCACTGCACCCCACCCCGCCTTCTGCTGAGGTCACACCTGCATTGCAGCACAGCAGGACAGGGTGTCTGGCCTGCAGATGCTGGGAGAAAATCTGCCCCTTTACATTACTGCATTTGGGTAAGGGGTCATTCCCAGCAGTAGAGCTACCACACCAGCACTACAGAAACCTGGCAGGATCATACCGTAAGAGTGCTTTTACCTGAGGTGTTGCCAGCTCACTAACACACTTTATGGACAGATAATGCCCTTGGCAGCTTTACTGAACAGCAGATACCTTATCACTTTTGTTTCCAATACTGAGAGTTGAACCCAGGGTCTTTGCACTGACTATGCTGTCAGCTCTTTTAAATTTTTTTTTTTTTTTTTTGGTCTTTTTCTTTTTTTTTTATCGGTACCAGGGACCGAACTCACGACTGCCTGCTTGCAAGGCAGGTGCTTATGCCGCTGAGCTAAATCCCCAGCCCCAGCTCTTTTAAATTTTGAGATAGGGTCTCGCTGAGTCACGTAAGTCGTCCAGCCTGAGATCAATCCTGCGGCCCTCCTGTCTCAGCCTCCCAGAACACTGGAATTACAGCCATGTGCCCTGACACAAGCTTGTACTTTGCCACATTCAATGTTTGCACTGACCCTATTTGGCACGCACGGTTATTTTCATTTTCAGAGAGAGCAGACAGAGAGCCAGACAGCTAATTCATGGGAGAGCAGGCCCTGGAATCCACACTCATGCATCTCCAAAGCCAGGTCTGCCGTTTTACTTCCAAATAAGAAAACCTGAGACCGAAAGTGATCTGTCAGCATCCTACCGCTCTGTGGAGTCCCAATACTTTCCAGGCTAGTGGTTCTCTGGGAGCCGCAGACCTGCGGCTTGTCAGCAACGTGGACCCCAGGACGGCAGCTCTGAGGGCAGCCTGGCATTCTGTCAGCACCATTTACACGGCTCCCATCCCGGGTCTCACCTGAGTACCTGGAACGGCGCCATCCGAAGCCATTAGCCACATATGAGATAAGAGCTTTCTTATCCACGTACATTTACGTCTGTTCTGCCCAAGAGTCCTGGTCCTCCCTTTTGCTCTTCCCAGAAGACTCTTCTCTGCAAGGAGTGTGCAGGGCTTAGTTTCAGGAAACCACCTTGGCTCTTTGAGGCCCTAATCCACTCTATATGCCCCTTAATTTTTGGGGCAACATCCATGGCCCTAAGATGTTTGTTTTCAATGCCAATAGCGTGAGGGGTAACACTCCGGGTGCTCCTGGCTTTGCCCTGGTAACTTTTGTGTGGTTTTTTGGGTGGTGGTGCTGGCATGGGAACCAGGACCTCTATCATGCCAGGCTCTGCGGGGAGCCAACCCCGCCAGCTTCCTCCTGAACCCCTTTTTGCGGGATGCCCACCGTGCCACCTCTCTTGTGGATTGGCACGGGGTGCAGGTGGCCAAAGGAACAACTGTCACTTTCCTAGGGCTGCAGAACACATAATGGGCACCTTCTGTCTCCCTCTGTGCTCCACATTTTGGTGAATGGCTATGAAAGAGTAGCTCTGGCCAAAAGGAAATGTGTGGCCACTTCAGCTGCCGTGCAAATCAGTCAGAGCTCAGTACCTCGAAAATTCCGGCCTTAGCTGCACTGCCGTATTGCAAGGGCTGAGCAGCCTCCCGTGGTTCTCAGAGGCAGAGCTACTGTCCTGTGCTGGACACTGCTGCTCCGGAGCCGGGCACCCCAGGGACAGCCAGGCACAGCTTCTGTCTTCTTCTGTCAATGGAAAATGGGTTTTGGAACTGCAACTTTGCTCCCACCATTTCCTACGACCTCTTAGAGACAGCTTCTAGGGGCTGGAGTTATAAGAGTCACCACCCAGACAGACTGTCAGCTCTAGACCTGCTGTGTAACACTGGGCCCCCAGTTAACGGCCACCTGTGGTCCCGTGCCAGGTTTCTGGCATGCCTAGAATGTTCTATGGCATTCAGAAGAGTTCAGCTCTCCTGTTACCTGTTCGCACCACCACAAAGCAAGTTTGTTTTTTAAATGATTATGTTGGTTCTGATCAGTAGTCACGGGCATCTGTGCTGACGGATCTGATGACCAGTGCTGGCTGGGGGCAGATCCAAGGTCACCAGCGACCTGGGTGGGCAGAGGTACTGCCCCTGCCAGTTTGCCCTAGAACATTCTAGGGGTGCAGGACACCTGGCAGGGTTGTTTTGACAAGTGACTTGTGATTCTGTTGGAACTGGTAGCCCCGAGGATACGGCTGTGCAAAGTCAGACACACACAGGAAACTCCACAGGGCGCCTGACACTGCATACTTAGGATGAATAATATTTTAATGCAGCATTTTTAGAGCTCAAAACTAGCACAGAACGGCGTGAACCAAATGCCAGATCTTAAATCAAGGCCAGATTCGACCAGCCTGCATGCAGCAGTTGGGAACAGGGCAAAGGGAAACGGGTCCCTGCTTGTGTGCTTCTGTGCAGGCTGTGTGAAGATGGACGTTTTGTTTAGGGTGGGCTTGGGACGATTTTTATGTTTAGAAGCATCACACCTATTTATTATTTAACTTGACTCCTGAGCAGCGGGCCGGCCCTCCGCACAGGCTGCCTCTGAGCAACGCCTATCTCAGGTGAATCTGACTGCTTTACGACGGTCTCTGGGCTGTTTCTGTCTGTGATTGCCATGCTTTGTTTAAGTTTCCAAACTTGTGACTCAGCTTCTCCTGGAACGAGGGTGGTCCAGCGATGAAGCCACATCTGACGGGGACCCCCGCCTCTGGCTTTGGGACGCGGAGGAGGAGGAAAGCCCTTAGCCAAGGTTTGTAGGCGGCTGCACGGTGGACTCGCTGGCTTCTGCTGCCCCCGCCTGGAGAGAATGGAAACTGTAAGGTCAGCGGATCCAAGGCCTAGTGTGCAGGTCAGGAGACAACCAGAGAGCACTGGGCTGCGGGTGTGTGGGGTACAGCAGAGAACAAAAGGGACAGAAATTCTGCCCAGATGAAATCTGGAATCTTCCACCCAGTGTGGAAGGACCATGTGTATGCGCGCCTGCGCGTGTGTGTGTAAGAGTGCCCACTAACACCACTTCTCAACATAGTACTCGAAACATTAGCCAGAGCAATCAGGCAAGAGAAAGAAGTACACAGGAAAAGACAAAGTCAAGCTGTCATTATTTGCCAAGGATGTGATGCTCTACCTAGAAGACCCAAAGAACTGCCCCCAGAACTCTTAGAATTAATAACAACGTCAGTAGTGTAGCAGGTTACAAAATCGGCGCACAAAAATCGATAGCATGTATGTATCCCGGTGATGAACCCGATGAGAAAGAAATCAGGAAAACAAGGTCAGTCACACAAGCACAAAAAAGAATTAAACACGTGGGAAGTTACCCAGCCAAGACCTCCAGAATGAAAAAGCCGGAGAAGAGGACCCAGATAGGCAGAATCAGCGCTGTCAAAGCGACTGCTCTCCCCAAACTGACGCACACATTCAGGGCAGTTCCAATCAAAACGCCAGCAGCATTCCCTGCAGAGGTAGAAAAAACGATCCTGAATCCACACAGAGGCAGCAGCAGTCTCATGCAACAGGAGCAAGGCAGGAGGCCTTGTGATTCCTGACTTCAGGTTGTTCGGCCAAGCAGCGGGGCTGGCACAGAGATGGACACGTGAATAAATGGGGCGGGATGCTGCGAGGGCGGGACTTGTAGGTCTGTCACTGATAACTGACAGCCGGTGGTGACATGCTTGGCACAGGGTCATCACCGCTGGAATAGAGGGTGCAGAGAAATCCCAGGTGTATTGAATTGTGCGATCTGCAATAAAAGGTCCAAAAGCATAAATTGGAGGAAAGGCACCCTGTTTAACACAGTTCTGGGAAAACTGGCTGTCTATGTGCTGAAGATTAGCGCTCGGTTCGAATCTCTCACCAGCTACAAACTAACACGGAATTAGAGAG